CCCCAAAACCCCAAAACCCCAAAACCCCTTCAATCAAAATTTGGATCAATTTAAATTAGATTTGAGATTATAGAAATTAATGTCTGTATAATCAAGTGAGTTGACATTCAGTATTTTAAAATAATGTATTCTCAGTACTATACAATGTCTCATAAAGCTATTCATCTTCATATTTTCTTATTTCAATTAAATCTCCATTTTACGGAACATACATTACAATTCCATCTGTTTAGCCATTCTTCCACTATCCAATTAAAATCCCATCATCATACTTGGCGATTCCAAGGCCACATCTCTTATCATTTACGTACTCTCCATAATAATAATTGCCATTATAGTACCAATAAAATCCTAATCCCTCTATTTTACTGTTGAGGAAGTTTCCCTCTTGCACACTTCCACTCGAGAAAATGTATTACCCTTTTCCATTCCTTTGGCCATTTTGAATCTCACCGAAATAATAAGATCCACTTGGATAAATTAATCATCCGTAACCATTAAGTCTTCCATCTTACCAAATTCCTTCTTAAAGTTAACCATCTGAATATATTCTTCTCCCTCTACCATCTGGTTATCTCGTATATCTATCAATCTCACCTTGATATTTATCATTTTCATCGATAGTGAATGTAGTTGCAAAGATTCTATTAGGATTAGGATGGATATTTGAAGGGGCAGGAAAGTTATAATCAACTAACTCAGCTAAAATTTCATTTACCTTGTCATTTGATGATTTAAGAGTCAATGTGAAAGCGCCTTATAGCAATACATTATCATGTCTAGAGATTAGGTCTATGTTTCCTTCTTTAACTTAATCCATCACTTCAATATTTTAATGTATTTTTACTTCTTAACTATTTCCATTAGCCTTTCGATTCTTGCTTTTTGATAAAACTTTTGATTAAATTTCTAACTTAGACTTATCTTTCTAGTTTAATTTTGGAATAAATCTAGTCAAAATGTTGTTAAATATTTTAGGATCATTTTTAACTATTCGACTTGTTTTACTCATTTATTTATATCTTTGAGAATCTAAACGTTGCACTACTTCTAACGGTTTTTCTAATCTACTATTTAGGCTTTGTTTGAATTACATAAATTATTACTCTGGATTATATTTAATGGTTGTTTGATCATTCAAATTTTTTATAGCGTTACTATCAAATTCTAATTACAAACAATTAATTGAGCTGGGTCTTCGATAACTTTTATCTCTTTGACTTTTATATTATGGTTAATTTCTTATTTACTTTGATTAAATATTGCTGTCTTTAATACGTGTATTATTCAATGGGTTCCTAGATCAAGAGTTTGTTTTATTTTGCTTGTCTGTATTTTTAGCAGAAAATGAAGAGTCTACTGATACTTGAGAGTATTAATATCAATGACATTTTTAAGGAGAGGTCCCCCAACAACTTTTGCCATTTTTATTATGATCTCCATGAATTAATTGGATAGCCACATGTTCCTCAAGTTCTTGTCCCTTCTAAATGTCTTTTAATCTTCTATCAAGCTAAGTTTCTACTTTATAGATTTGAGGATTCCACGAATTTCTTTATAGGCATCCTCAAAAGGGAATTCATATTCTTATTTCTTACTTTCCATTTTATTTATTATGATCAAAACTCAATTTTAGTTTCTTAGATTTATTATTTGCTTTTCTTAAAATTCAAATTTTAGTATCATGGGGTTTTGGGGTTTTGGGG